TCAAAAATTTTTGAATAAATTTCTGTTTTGTTGAATCAGAGAAAAAATGTCTATTTTTTCTCGAATAGATAGATGATGATCTGATGCTATGGATCACATGACAGGTAACCTTTAAAATTTTTTTCTAGTTTTCGACCACACAAAGCATCTTATTCTGTAACTATTGCCAATAGGTCGACCTATAATATTGTGGGATCGGGGACCACGAAACCAACATTATCTATTACCCTGTCATCTGAGCTTAAGTCTACTTAAACTTGTCTTAATCTAATTTCTATAAGTAACTTTACTAAAAATATAAATTGTTGTATTACATTTTTTCCTGATCACTGTATTCTTCAAGATCTTATGACGAAACGAATTATTGGTAAAGAACACATATCAGATGATCTTTACATTCTTGACACTTGGGTACCTCAATCAGTTGCTTGCTCTAATGTTATCTCTCCATTTGAAGCACATTAATAATTGGGACATCCTTCTCTACCTATGTTGAAAAAAGTTACGTTCTCAATTTCATAATATACCTTCATTGGATTGTGAGTCATGTCTATTTCCAAAACATCACAGAAGTCCGTCAGGTCCAAGAGTCAGTAGACAAGCTGAGTCTGCTTTAGAGTTAGTTCACTCTGATATTTGGGACCTCTATTCTGTTCCATCCAATACTGATTTTAAATATTTCGTTACTTTTGTGAATGATTTTTTTCGAATGACGTGTATATATTTTATGAAAAATCGTTTTGAACTATTTTCTCACATTTGTGCCTTTTGTGATGAAATCAATACACAATTCAATGTTTCTGTGGATGTATTCAGAAGTGATAATATCAAGCAATATATGTCCGACTCATTTCAGAACTATATGATTCAACATGGGATCCTTCAACAATTCTCATGTGTGGATACACCATCTCAAAATGGAATCGCTGAGAGAAAGAATAGACATTTACTTGAGACAACTCGAGTCCTCTTGTTCCAAACACAAATCCCTAAGCAGTTCTGGGTTGATATTGTTTCCACGGCATGTTTCTTAATTAATCATATGTCATTTATAGTACTTGATGGAGATGCTTCTCATATTCTTTTTCCAAACAAGTCTTTATTTCTGCTACAAATTAAGATATTTGGTAGCACCTGTTATGTTCGAGATGTGCGACCTACTATGATAAAATTGGAATCGAAGACCTTGAAATGTGTATTTTTGAGATATTCTCGCCTTTAAAAAAGATATCAGTGCTACTCTCCAGATCTCCATAAATATTTTATATTAATTGATGTGGTTTTTTTAAAAAATACACCGTTCTTCTCCTCATTATTTAAATTTACAAGTCAGGGACGGACGATGAGTGACTCACCTATACTTTAACACTAGGTGCCTATACTGAGCAAACAGATAATGGTACTTTTCCAGATGATGTATTTTCATCCCTATTTGAGCAAGTTGATGATAGTGTTAGTGTGCCTCTGACCTAAGTACTACCACCAATTGTTCGTATTTATTCCAGAAAACAACAAACTAATTATACATGTTCTGCACCAGGTCTGTCGTCATCTGATTCTAACTCACAGGATCTTGATCTTCCCATTAGTTTTCGTAAAGGTAAATATCAGTACACCATTCCTACATCAACTTATCGCATTGCTAATTTTATCTTATATGACCATCTGTCTCCTTCATCTAACGCTTTAATTGCTTATATAGATTCAATTTCTATATTCAAAACAGTTAAGGAGACTCTAAATCACCCTGATTGGCGTAACACCATACTTGAGGAGATAAATGCTCGTAATAATAATCATACCTGTGATCTGGTAGATTTACTCAAAGGAAAAAAGACTCTAGGATGCAAATGGGTATTTACAGTCAAACTGAATCTAAATGCCTCTATAATGAGACTTAAAACTTGATTGGTAGCGAAAGGTTATGCTCAAACTTATGGGGTGGACTATTTTGATACATTCTCTCCAATGGGCAAACTACCTCTTTCCGTTTATTCAGATCTATTGCAACCTCCCGAGATTGACCCTTACACTAATTGGACATTAAAAATGCATTTCTTCATGATGATCTCTTAGAAGAAAAATATATAAAGCATCCACCTGAGTTTGTTACTTAGGGCGAGTACGAAAAAGTCTTATCATTTGAAGAAATCTTTGTATGGTCTGAAACAGAGTCCCCATGCGTGGTTTGATAAGTTTAGTGAGGTGGTAGGTGAGTTTGGATTGAAAAAGAGCAAGTGTGATCATTCAGTCTTCTATACACAATTAATAGCTGGTATTATACTTTTTATTGTTTATGTTGATGATATTGTGATTACAGGAAATGACTATGCAGCAATATTCTCTCTCAAGTCATTCTTGCATATCAAGTTTAATACCAAAAACTTGGAACAACTAAAATACTTCTTGGGGGTGGAAATAACAAAAGTAAGGAAGAGATTCTATTATCTCAGAGAAAGTATGTATATGATCTACTGGCATAAACAGGAAAACTGGGAGCTAAGCCATGCAAAAGACCAATGGTACCAAATGTACATTTTATAAAAAATGATGGTGATCCCCGTCAAAATCCAGAAAATACAAGCGACTAGTTAGAAAATTGAATTATCTCACTGTGACTTGTTCAGATATTGTATACCCTGTCAGTGTTGTTAATCAGTTTATATCTGCACCTACAGTCAAATATTGTGAGATTCTGGAACATATTTTATACTACTTAAAAGGTGCTCTGGAACTTAGTATAGTATTTAGAAATTACGAATAAACTCATACTAAATGTTTTACAGATACTGATTGGACTGGATCTAAAATTGATAGGAGATTTACTATGGACTATTGTATTTTTGTTGGTAGGAATCTCATATCATGAAAAAGTAAGAAGCAAACAGTTGTATTTCGCTCAAGCGCAGAATCTGAATATAGAAATATGCCCCAGTCTATATGCGAAATCTTATGGATATATCATCGTTTAGATGAAGTGGGTTTGAAGCCTACATCTCCTGTAAAACTCTAGTGTGATAATTAGTCTGCCCTTCATATTATTTCGAATCCTGTGTATCATGAAAAAACCAAATATATCGAGATTGATTGTCATTTCATACAAGAAAAAATTTAGGAAAATTTTATATCTATTGATTATGTGAAGACAAGAGAACAACTTGATAATCTATTCATAAAACCTTTGAATAAAGCACGGATTGAGTATCTTCGCAACAAACTGGGCATGATTAATATCTATACTCCACCTTGAGGGGGAGTGTTAGAATATTATATAATATTCCATGTACATAATAATATGACAAATATGTTAGCGTAATTAATTGGGTATTTTATATTGGTTACCATTTTTGAATCCATCTACATGTATATATATCATTATTCTCATTTCAATAAGAGACATATAAATATTCAGTATTTTTCCTTCCCTATCCCTTTATAATAGCAAAAATTTAAAAAAGAACCCAATACAAATTAATCTGATAACTCAAATCACACTAACAGAGTGAATTTAAAAATAGAAACTTCTATAACTTTCAAGAAGAAAAAGTGTATAAATATAGAAGTACCAAGGAGATTTAACCTGTACAAAAAACTTCATTTCTAATGAAATGTCTATTAGATCCCCAAGATCCTCATTAGAATACAGCGGTTTACCTCTTAACAAAAAACTTAAAACCTGGAACTATGAATCTTTAAATTTATCGAAAGTTGGTAGCCAAAAGGATAAGTCTAAATAATAACTTTTAACTTCCAATGCATTTACATGCCCAAAACTCCACTTTCACAGTGCCAACAATTACTCAACTCAAACTCAGAAGACTGAAGTCCAGAGACCAAAGATGCTGTGCAAAAGGATACCAAATAAGGATATGATTACACATCTTTGCACCATTCTTGTACAAATAGCAACCATTCACCAAGATTTTCCCCCTCCTAATCAACTGGTCCAGCATAAGGATCCACTTTGGAGTTGCCTCCAGTTCGATAGGAGCCTCACTCTAGCTTCCTCTCCCAGTTAAAAAGAAGAAATATAAACCCTTTTCTATTGAGACTCCAAATTAACTCGTCCTCAGACGCACGCAAAACCCCCACTTAAGAAAGAGACTTGAGAAGTTCTATGTCATCATTTATCTCTTAATCATTCAGGTTTTTGGTTAATTCAATTGCCCATGAGCTCCTACCGATGGATCCCATAAAGGAATCCTTTATTTAAATGTTCTTGTTCATACCGATACCATAAATGGCAGGAAACTGCATGAAAGGCATCCCACCTTCCAACCATTCATCCTTCCAAAAACTCACTCTCTTTGCAGACAACACTCTTCATTTTATGCACTTCTGAAAAACCTGATTGCTATGCTAATCTTCTTCCACAAGCCAACACCATGCGGCCCCATGGGATCCTTGACATACCACACTGAATTGTCTAAGCTAAATTCAGCCACAACCACCTTCTTCTATAGACCATCTCTACAATGATTTTATGAAAACTCTAACAAAATATAAGACTTACGAAAATAGAAATTATAGTAATAATCCTATATTAGAAAAAGCTGCTGTAGATGGTTCCACATCAATAAATTGCATCTTTTAGCATTCATAATATAACAAGGTATTATTGTTTTCACTCATCATTTTTCAGGCTTGAACATCAAGTGGAGCACCAAATACAAACGATTGATGCATTCTTGAAATTATTCAAAAGCAAACTACAAAATTTTTATACACCATCAAGATATAAAATAACCTATACTTCAGGAAAAATCTTAGGAAAAGAAAAATCCCGGGTATCAGTAAAAGCTAATTACCATGTCCTGGAATTAGGGAACCAGAGTCCTTGACACCAGCATCACGTTTAATCATTGACTCAGTGAGATCACCAAAAACAGATCCAAAGAAGTTTAGGAATCCAAAAGCCACAGCACTGACAACCATTTCAAGAAGATATGTCAGATGCAGAGTACTGAAGATGCAAAAAGGAACAAACAGAAAAAATCTATATTTAAGAATTCTTTTCGCATATCATAAAATGCATTAGAAATGGCAAATGAAACATGATCATAGGAGGGGTGGTGGCAGAGGGAGATCATAAAAACTAAAATCCTGGCTAACCAAAGACCAGGCAATTGGGAGAGAAAGATACATATAAAAAAAGAAATTGAAATGTAAAATAGTGGAGCTCATAGCTCAATGTTGTATATGAAGTTGTCAGACAACATGGATGCAACAACGACATCATAAATGAGCAAGAATTTCAACTGCGTGACTATTGTTTTTGTAACTTTCCTTTAAGAGCATAAGTTCCTCCCAGCGACGATGAAAGTAAACGATTATTTACATTCAGCGAACAATCAGAACAAAAACATTACAATAGTGTATGTTTTCTATGTTTTCCTTTGCTATTGATCATCATGCTGACTCACAATTATGTTATGAGGAACAGAAAAAGTAGTTTTGCACATGAAAAGAATAACATGGCATAAAAGGAAATGCAGTTACCTTAGCAAAGATGTTGGCCAGGACAAAATCTTTGACAGTATGACTGTGGTGGCTATACAACCACACAGACCAAGAATAGTTCCCTCCCAAGTCTTCTTCGGACTGACATTTGTAAGAGGTGTCCTCCCAAATGCCTGTAAATGGGCAAAAATTTATTAGTGTAGCAGTACCCCACCTAATCTTTGTAATGGCATAAAGTGTTGGCAATTCATGAAATTTGTGTCTAGATGGATCATGTAACGACTTCGGAATTCCAAATGAAATAAATTATAAATTTAGTACGGAAGTGAAATAATTAGTTAGGGTTTGCACCCTCATACGGAGTATGACAATTTCCCATTTCACTCTCATACCGGACGGAATATTGAGATTTAATGGTTTGGTGCTCATACCGGACGGGGTATGGAAACGATCTGTTAATTTAAAATGTTAAAGAAAAGAGCTCACGCGTTGTGAAAATATCCCTATGAACCCCCATGGATACCAGTAGACTGACAAAGGATAGAATTATTGTTCAAATCGATTACATATGAAATCATGATCTGAGTTATGTATTATCTCTATAAGTTGTTTTGTAAATCTCACTACATTAAGTAGATGGTAAAAAAATTTGTTTATAATAAATGAATTTGTTTAATTAAGAGGTACATTAGTTGTTTTGATTTTTCTACCAAACTTCTTTTCTGTGTCGGTGAGTAGCGTGATATTCTTATTGAATTAGTGTAACTCATCTCTTATTTAACCATTTCAGATCAAGAGTATCAGAATCTAGAGACCAATCCACAAGAGGGTTACGAGTAGGATACTAATTTTATTTATTTTCCGTTTATTTTCTTATTTTCTTTGTATTTCCTTTAAAGGGTAATTCTCGTAACATTATTTGATATTTTAAGTTATTGTGTAAGAAATGTAAACTCTAACTAATTATTTCGCTTTCGCATTAAATTTATGATTTATTTCCTTTGTAATTCTGATGTCATTACAGTTGGTATCAGAGCCGCGTTTCTCGAACACATTCCTTATACAAAATCCTTAGGAAATACCAAAAATAATGAATTATTACTCAATCATTCCTTATGAAAAGCAAGTATAGATAGATGAGGAGAGGAAGACCCCCAGTAAACCAAGCAGCCTGAGAGGGTTCGCTTAGAGATGATGTCGACCGATTATTTGAGATGCCGGAGAGACTTATTACTGTTCAACAGGCCCAGGAGGAAAGGAGGGAGCTACCTGACCCTCTCCCGTTGTCACAGGTTGAGCCACTCTTACAGAGAAAGGATCCCGAACCACCCCGGTATGACCCTGCTCCTCCACAGTACCACCCGGCACCACTACAGTATGATCCGGTGCCTCAACCACAGTACCACCACAGTATAGCCCAGTGCCCCAACCGCATCACCCGGCACCACTACAGTACAATCCGGTACCTCAAATAATTAAACAAGTTTAGCTTTTCGGACATAAATTTGAGTAAGAATCCATCACCCTATTCTCTATTATAGAATTGAAGTCAAATTAACAATAATACGATATTGTATACAATTTAGAAAATATCCATAATTAATTACGGGTTACTAATGGAGTCAGAACCGAAAATTATCTACTGTTGTTTCTGATTATTGTTTTTACAGTTTGAATGCATGATAATATCTTATTGATCAATTTTATAGTTTTGAATGTATGTATGTTTGTTTATGGGTTTACGATTAAATTGGAAAAAAATGAGATTAAAGAAAAAAGAAAATAGCGTGATTAAGTGAATGGATAAAACGGCAGTTTTACTGGATATCCTGAGAGATGGTGGACGGACCGGGTGCATAGGGAACCCTACCGTGAACGTTAACTCATACCGAACGGAGTATCGAGATTTGATAATTTGACGCTCATACCGAACAGGATATTGGGACGGCCCGTTTCACATCTCATACCGGACGGAGTATTGAGATTTAATGGTTTGGCGCTCATATCATATGGGGTATGGGGACAGCTTGTTAATTTGAAATGTTAAAGGAAATGGCTCACGCGTTGTGGGGACATCCCTATGAACCCCTATGGATACCAGTAGGCTGATTAAGGATAGAATTGTTGCTCAAATCGATTACATATGAAATCATGATTTGAGTTATGTATTGTCTCTATAAGTTGTTTTATAAATTTCACTACGCTAAGTAGATGGTAAAATATTTTGTTTATAATAAATGAATTTATTTAATTAAGAGTTCCATTAGTTGTTTTGATTTTTCTACCAAACTTCTTTTCTGTGTCGATGAGTAGCGTGATATTCTTACTGAGCTAATGTAGCTCATCCTTTATTTAATCATTTCAGATCAAGAAAATCAGGATCCAAACCTCAATCCACAAGAGGGTTACGAGTAGAATACCGGTTTTATTTATTTTCTGTTTATTTTCTTATTTTTTTTGTATTTCTTTCAAAGGGTAATTCCCGTAACACTATTTGATACTTTAAGTTATTGTATAAGAAATGTAAACCCTAACTAAGCACTAAATTAATGATTTATTTTCTTTAGAATTCCGGAATCGTTACAGATCATGTCAACATAAAGTACTGATGACTCTACTCCAAACACAAACCTAACATGTTTAGCATTTTTCACCATTTCCGAACCAAAAACCAACCTACTTGTAAATAGATTAATCCATTTAAATCCACTTAGACTCGTTTTATCAAGAAATTTACATTAAGTGTTAATTGATCAACCAATTTAACAAGTTTAACCTATTCATAAAATAATTAATATGTTTTCAATTAACTCTAATCATAATTGATATGTTTTAGGTGGCTACACAACCATAAGCAACTAAAACAGATGCTTCCTAAATCTTTTTGAGAACAACATTTTTAAGAGGTGTCCTGCCAAAAACGGAACTCAAGCAAATAAATAAAAATCCCACCCAATCTTTGTAATGGTATATAGGATAGAAATTCATATCTAAACAAGTCATGTCATTGTTAAGTACTAATGATTCCACTCCAAAACCCAAACCTAACACGTTTAATAATCACAATCACCAAATCCATACCCAACACAGTTAATATGTTTGAGTGAACCCAAATCATAACTGATATGTTTAAAATATTATTTATTTTAAAAAAGTTAACACTAAAATAAAATTATAATAAAAAATGACAAAAAAATATAAACATCACATTTAATTCAAAAATAAAATAATTAAATAATATAAACATAAAAATGATTGATAAGACCTTATGCCATTACTTAGTCTATCATTATCGTCATCCTGAAAAGGTATATTAACCTGTGCAACACTGAATTTAATCCCTCTTAAAAATGAGGCATCATTATTGAATTTAATCCCTCTTAAATATGAGGCATCAACACTGAATTTAAGCTGGACTGATTTATTATTATTTTTTAGATAATAATTTAAGCTGGACTTATAACCATCCAATTAATAGCATGCAAATCCTGGAATATCATAGGCAACTAATTGTTAATTAAATCTTCATAAACAGAGAAGCTGAGCATTGAAGAGATGATAAACTCGAATGGCTCATAAATTGAATATTTGTCACAAAGAGCCAAATCAAATGCAGACTGCCATTTGATTTCATTAGTTGTGTGTATAAAAGCAGAAGAATGAATATTTGAGAAGATAAACATTCGTCCATCTGATGGATGCACTCACAAAATTATCTTTCAAGTATCAATGAAATTATAATGAAAACAGTATGTATAATAACTCTAGAGCCTAACCTTGCCACCTATAAAAGCAAATGTATCGGCTGCAATTATACTGCTGAAAGAAATCAATGTTGCCACAAGACCCACTGTCCAGTGAGCTTGGCCACCAAGAATAATAGGCCACTGTGCCCCAGATTCTGCCAAACACAACCAGTTAAAAAATATTCTCATGAAGCCAATAGCAAAAACTCAGTGATATTACCATGAGTAAGAGAAATTAAAAACCACAGCAAGAAATAAATACTATACAGCTAATCCAGAATATTAAAACTGTAAAATCTACAACTTCTCACTAAGAATAGAGGGGAAAAACTATTTAGATAGCTTTTGAAGTGTGACACATCAGTCCCCTGTAAGTTGACAGCAATCCTCCTTTCTAATGGAGCTCTATGTAACATGA